AAGGGAGATAAGTTTTCATGTAGTAAAAGCTTATATGTCACATTGGATGGAGTGGTTTGTATTTATACCTATTTTAACATTATCATAAAAAGCACTGCTTCTATTGTTCTTTTCCATATATACAATTTTGTTATTGTTTTGTACAGTTTGTTCATCTTTCCACAAGCTGGTCCAGACATCAAGTATCTTCTGGGTTTTATCAGAACTCAGCTTAGCACATCAGTCACTGTAGGGCTTGTTTTTGGGCCCAAAGTAAGTACATAAACACAATATGTGCACACCCTTCCCACCAGAAAATAAAAATGGCTTAGCAACCCTCAGCCAAGCTATTAGGGTTAAATCTAACCCAAGTTATTATTGCTGATCCAAAGTCTATTCAAGGAATTGTGAACTCAAGAAAAATATTTACATGAACAAAATTATCAATATAAAACAAATATGATAAATTCTGGAGATATGAGGAAGTTGCAAATTTAATTTCAGTAATTTTTATGATTGTAATAATAAAATACACCAGCTATAAACCTCACAAAAAGTAGCATATATGAGTTAGTATTGAAATAAGTAAGATTATGAATAAGGTGATACAAGAAAGATTTTAGAACAGGTAGAAAATGTGGTTCCCTGATCCTGTACTTAGACTTCAAGGAAGAATAATCAACTCTAGATTTGAGTTAACCTGAGAAATTAACTAATGATTAATAATTTTAAATGTGCCAAATATACAGAAGCTGAGAAGAATCCTGCTATCTTAATTTTCTTCTTTGCTTTCTCTAACTTCTTTTTACATATGAGTACGTCCAAATGCAGTTGTTACAGCATAATTTGTCAGCTGTTACTGTTATTATTTCCTTATTGCATCAAATATATTGAAATTAATTAAAAAATAAATAACATAATATTGTGACTGGCTTTCTGTAATCAAGCTAAAACATTTTTCCTACTTACATTTTAACTAAGGCCAGTGAATAGCCTGATTTGTTTAATTTGTTAAATTTAACTCAACTGAATTTTTATATAAAATTATCAATAAGTTAAAGAAATCAAACCCCCACCTAATATGAGTGGAAAAATATGAATCTTCAATATTTCATCCAGAAAATATTACTAATATTAAAAGCAACATCACCATATTATATTTATTTATATCCTTGTTACTATTTGTCAGTAGCTCATATGTTGGCCCCAAAATGGAAAATATTTAAAATATTTTTTCAATAAAATATATTCAAATTATAGCACCTAATGAGCCTAGTTCTTTAAGTCATGCATATTCTGAATAATCTATGTTCATTCTGACATAATGATGATAATACACTGAAGAAGACTTAATAAACTCATACCTGTGTGAGACATACAATTTACTTCGTCAGCCTTGTTACGCAGAAGCATCAGATGGATCTGAATATGGTATAAGTTTTCGGTTGAGATGAGTGAGTTTATTTCAGGTCGTGCGAGTATTACGAGGTCAGGGAGACCAGTGGGACAACAGAGCAAGAGCAAGAGGCGTCACAGCTTCCTTCTCTCTGAATGGAATTGGACTGATGCCTGAAGAAACTGCTGATTTATACCAGGAAAATGAGGAGCTCAAGGTACGCTTCTTTCCATATTATCCACCATCAGTACTTGCTAAAAGAAATATGCATGGCTCTTATCCTGTACAGAGCAGAGTTCATATTCATACTTTGGTTTCTCAAGATGGTGGAATACCTACGCGCCATGTTAGGTGCATGCGAATGGCATCTGCCTTAGTGGCAAACTCTTACTCTAATTTATATCTGACATAAGTGATCAGTGTAAAATATTCAAAGGAAGATTTATGACACAGTTAATATACAGTTGAATAAGGTGAAAGAGAATTTAATGTCATCTATGAAGAAGTTCACAGTGTAATCAGTTTTTTTAGGCTTTGCTCTGGTAAATAAATAAATTTTCTTTCTTGCCTTAACTATATTGCTCCAGGACACTGAGAGTCTATAAAAATAGCGTTAAAGTAAATTATAATGTAAGAAATACTATCTGTATAACATTACTGTATTATTTATATATAATACAAGGTTTGACACATGCCCAGGCTGACTGTGCGGAAAATAATATTTTATGACCAAGCATGAGTAAAAGCAGCCATCTTCGATGTACTTATCTCCTGACTTCATACAAGCGTTCCAGCATCTCTGCCCTGTCTGGGAATATCATTACAGATCATTCTTTAAAATTTTTTTCTGTACTGTTTATGCATTGATCTGAATTCTTTCAAATAATGTACTTCAAAATCAGATTTCCAAAGAGATTCTTAGTTCTACAAAAAAGAAAAAGAACAACTCAGGCAAGCATATGGAATTTCTAACACTGATTTTTTTTTTCCTGGCAAAAATTACATTACCAAAGCTGCTATGTGTGAAGGTACATTCCCATGATGAAAAAATCCTTCTGTCAGGCCAAAGATTTGGTACTTCTAGACAAATACACCATAATAAATGCTCCAGAATTTGAAGGTAAAATGTCTGGTTATTTGTTCTGGTGGAACAGACTTGTAATAGCTAATTCTTTTGATGTCACAAAGCAGATCAGAATAGTTCTGATCTTTTAAGCTTAATATTTTTTCTTTTCAGTTTCAGTGACTTTGAATTTCTGTTGTAGATTTTGGTTTTTTGTTTCTGGTTAGCACTGGAAACCTGTAGTATCGTCATCAATCACTATGTTTTTCAAACAGCCTTACTTAAATTTCTGAGCACTTTTTGTCTTCTGCTTTTCTGCTTGCTCCAAAGAATTTGTAGTACCTTGTTGGTGCAAACCCTTTTTACCCTGGTTAAAGTCAGTATCACGGTTTCTACCCCTATATTTGGTTCTAGTGATATATTCTGAGTTGTCAGTTGGTAATCATTTCCTACCATATGAGAAACTCCTTCATTTGAGTCAGTTCTTGAAGTTGTTGAGCTTTCATTGTCTGCCTTCACAAGAATTTAATGCTCCCTCAGTATTTTTCTCCAGACATTTGCTCTAACATTTCATACACAACAGTCTGATCTTTCTTGTCACCAACAATCCAAGGTCTGTTCCCTGGTCTAACTATCCATCACTTATGTTCTTGACAAACAAACAAATAAACAATCAAACAAAACACTGTGCCTGAAACACTACTGCAACCACAAAACACACTGAATTCCAGTGACACTGCTGAGTGATGTACCTGTGTGATTCAGCATACAGCAACTCACCAGTGTTGCCAGATGATGTATAAAAATATCAGTATTTTTAACTGTCAGACCACATATTTTATTATACTGTTAACTACTTTGGTAATGATTTGGGAAGATGCAGAAAGGTTCTTCAATTTGTTACTAACTAGATATATGTATGAAACAAATGTACTGATATATATATACAAAGTTCTTACAGAAAAACATGAATATGTACAGCTTTAATAGAATACACATTCATGTTGACCTGGATGTTCAAGTAAATTAATAATTATAATAAAATTTCTAAGAAATGAGGAAGAAAAATATCATCCCACAATCTTTAGCTAAAGCACTGATGGATCTTGATCTGTGTTTACGATTTATGAACAGAAAGTATAAACTTGTATGGTGACTGCTGCTTCTTTGCGAAGTCAGTGCCAACTTTAGTGGATGGACGGTGTCACGTGGTCAGCACAACGAATCCCCACAGCCGTTATTTCGGTTTTCTAGACTGGATTGAACTATGAATATTATTTTTGTACCTCAAAATTTCAAATGTTAGTTTTACACCACTGTGCAGCTAGATTCTATAAACGTCTCAACCATAGGCCCCATATAGCAACATAATTTAGAACCTAAGGAAAATACACACTTGTGTAAGTGATAAAAATGCTTATGTACAGAAGTGGAAATATCTTAATTACTTGAATTTCGTTATATGAATAAATTATCGAATAAGAGTTCTTCACTCTGCAGAAATTGTAAGAAATAAACATTTCTCACAGTCACAGAAGTGGTCTGATGAGGAACTGACTGTAGCATACTACATTTATATTTGCTGTATGGTGTCTTGCACAATAATATGGTGGAATAATGAATTACAAAATTCAAATGTGTGCATGTATGTATGCAGTTAATGTACTCGTATAACACATTTTGCAACCAGAAGATAAAAGAGTTCAGAGCATCATCGTGACTGGTTCTTCTTATTGCTTTGATAAGTAACTGCATAGCTCGTTAAGAAGTACAGGCATATGAATTTGGTGTGTAGATAAGAGTTTGAATTTGTTTACATGTCATTATCAATTCTGTGAATTACATGAAATATATATGTCAATCCATCCATCTCTCCGTCCAGCGACACACTTCATTTTACAATGTGCATTACAGAGTTTGACTGATTCCGGTTATGAGGTTCTTTAGTAGAAGCTACTGTGATTTATTGTAAGAAAAATTATTTCACATCATAAAATTTAGAGCTCATTAAGATCTCATCTTTTGTTTGTAAGAACTTTTAATGTGACGTATATTTAGCAAATTAAAAGGAAATTATATTTATAACTCTGCCTGATGTAATCACTGACTAATATTTTAGTAATGGAAGTGTAACTGCAAAAATGAACATCAAGACCAATATTTGATGAAAGAATGCACCTGGAAAATTTATTTGGCAAATTGTAAGATACCTCTCAACTTTTAATGTATAGATTGACTTTAGCTAAGCGAAAAATTGTCACTGAATGAATTAGTTAAATTCCCAGGATAAATCATCTGAGCAGACATAGAGTGAATGAATGTATGAAGCATGTCATTTTTATCATACAAGACACTGCATGTAGTAAATGCATAACAAAATTGCTTAAGAAAAAAAAAACACATCATCTGTATGCTGAGATACAATTTAATCTTCAAAGGAAATAAAAAAATGCTACATGTATTTATATAGAATGTAGTTCATCATACATATTTGTGTGATAGCCAAAAAATTGAAATGCATGCAGTTCTAACATCAAAATTGTCTCTATTGTCTAGTCCTATCCATATCATGTGTTATGTTTTAAAGTGTAATTTAGTAATCAGAATACACATTTGTGATGTAAAAAATGACTTCTGTTACACAGATTTGTAATAATAAGGGAAGTATTTATTTCAGTACATAGTGAAGCTGCTTCTGAGGTTTTCTTTGACTTACAAATTTTGAAAACTATAAGTAGGGAAGCACATTGTGCATTACTTTGCTAATTCAACTGTCTAAAAGTCATGTATATCCATGACATACTAGTTGTCTTTAAAACCTAGAAGTAAATTGCTACTACGCCTTACTTGCTTTTCCTTATGTGTAATGTATGACATATAATATCAACTGACAAATGATATGGGAGTTCTGAAATGCCTTACAAACTCCAGTTTTTTTTATTGACATCTCAAACCTGGTGGCAAGAATCAATTTTATATACATTTTAGATATGTGTAATTTTATTATTTTTAGTCATTTTCTTTGATTTTGTGAAAACATAATTTATGTTTATAAAAATTCCAAGTTCTCTACTTCGGTGAAGAAAAGGTACTAATAATTTTAAAACCAAAAGTACTGAATTTCTTGTACCATATTGCAAAAAGTATATTGACCTATTATGAACTAACATCCTGCACATCTAATAATAAACTTCAGCAGATTAAATAAAATAAATCACCAAGGTTTCAGATAAATTGTAATTTTAGACTGATCCACTTTTCTGTCATAGCTCTATCTTCATGTTGAAGTGTTTATACACAGTATTTGTCAGAAACAGAAAAACAACATTGTTTTGTTTGACTAGAATTGTCAAACTGATTTACGCCTTGTAGGAGTCAGTATTCATGTCATGAAATTCTTGGTCAATATACATTATTGTGCAAGGAAAGTAATGCTCACTGTAGTTTTAATGGGTTCAAAATTAATATAAATGAGCTTATGTCTTTAATTTCCTATTTTTCTCAGCACATGACATAGCATACATATGAAGAAAAATGTTGTGAATTGACACTAACATTTTATGTTTACCGTTTTAAAACGAATCTTTCTTAATCAGTAAAGCAGAAGAACGCTGTGATATTAAAGCATAATTGCTTACAGAATGTATTGATTCTTTCAATAACCGTGATAATACAGTAGACATAACTTTATTGATACCTACAGCTGAGAGCTCTAGGCTTTCCCCAAAGAAATACATTTCTGATAAGGTTCTTATAAAGTTACTTAAGCAAAAGAACAATATGTTCCCTTGAAATACAGAGTCTGTCTTCTTTCTAATCCAATTGCTCTTATAATTATCTGCCACATTAAAAAAAAAAAAGAATCACAATGCCAGCATAGGGTACCACAAGTGTACCATGACACATTATCACAATCTACCACACTGGACACCAGTGGCAGCTCGTAGCTAAAATTAGTGGGGGTGCTGCTCCAGAAGCACACAGTTCCATACAAAGATTTGGCTACTGACATTAAGCTTAAGGATTATATATTGTATTGTACAAGTATAAAGAAAGAATTAAAGAAAAAAGGACTCATTATATAAATGTTATCGATAATATCAAGTGGAAATTGGGGGTGCTGCAGTTCCGCAGTGCCTATACGCGGGCCGCCCCTGCTGGACACATACATAAGAAAGAGACTCTAGCAGTTGCTGAAGTATAATACACCTACAATAAGAATACCCCAAAATGCACTATCATATGAATATGGCAAAATTCATGTGGTTAAAGTGATGACAATAAAAAATTATTATAGAAGATAGGAGGCAAATTTGAAAATATATGCTATATATGATTAGTTAATGAAGAATGGAAAAAATTCTTAAATTAACCCATCTGTTTCTGGCATAGGAGCTGAAGTGTTTAATGATTTGTGCTGGACAAAATTGTGCAGAAATGAGTCATAAGATCTTTCAGATTAGTTTTGTTGTCTTTGATACTACAGTGAAAATTCAAAGTCTGAATCACTTCTAGGTGTCCAAAGGGATTTGGTTTATCCTAGAAGAATAAAGGTGGACTGCTTTTCTTGAAATTCAAATACATATTCAACCTATATCTTACTGAAGAGAATATTGGAACTTCTCAGGCCCTTCCACTGTTAATATAAAACATTATTCGTTCTCATGTTTCATAATTTTGAGGGATGATGTCAGTATCATACCATTACTGGAGGAAAACAGTGAATTTCAATTTAATTTCTGTTTCATTTGAAACTGATCCAAAAAACTCTAGTAATGTACAGTATGTACGTAGACAGGGTTGCAAAGACACTACTCTGAACATTTCTTATTCCTCCAATATATTATTTTAATTATGAGTTTAAGCATATAATCTTATGTCTCACTAGTGAACGTAACACATATCTACACGGTGCCACATCCCAGAAGACTGCTTTCTTCATAACTTAACTAGTTATGAAGAAGTATATTTCAGCTTGATCAACTATTGTCTGATAATTTTGTAGTTCATTCACAGGCAAGATACGTTTGGTGCTGCATACATTTTACAGTATATTTCTCTGCATCTACTTTCTAATTTGATACAGTATTTAAGACTTTGGTGTATTTACTGTGTTGTTATGGATACTGGAATGTATACCAGCGCTTAATTTGTAGTTGCTTTTCATATGTTAAAAAAGTATAATCTTTTGTGATCATTATTTCTTCTGTCTGTTGCATCATTCACCTCTAAAACTCAGATTTCCGTTAAATTTGATACACGGAACTTCTATCATAGCTGTTCACGATTTGATATTCTGTCTATTTGTCTATTTAATTTAATTTAAATTTATTTTATTTTATTTTATTCTATCCTTTGCTACTGTCTGCTGCTATATCACTAATTATATTGGTGGAACTGGCCTTCTGTCCTCATAATGAGCAGCACTGTAATATGATTCACATTGCTCAGGCTCTAGTGCTTCCATTTTCCTCAGCTTCTTCATGACTGAATAATTATGTATGGCATTCTGTGTATAACAGTGTTCACCTGTGTGTGTCTGTTCCTTTCTCTGTTTAATGATGTGTGCATGAACTGAAACTGTCATACTCTAAAATATTTCCAATTTAAGCTATTGTTTTGATACATAGCACTGTAGCCCAGACATGTTGCACTGAAATAAATACTCAACAAGTCAACATGATTTAAAAGTTACTTTTTTCATGAATACTTTTTGGAGTTTTTGCACATAAATGATCAGGATTTCTGTGTACAACTTTCACATCTTTTCACATTTATTCCTAAATTTCTTCAATGCTTAATAAGGTTAAGCTTTTAATAGGTACTGCTATGTTGTAGTATACACCTTCTGATAATTGAAAATTTTCTTATCATTTGCCCTGAGTTTTAAGAATCTTAAAATTTAAAATTTTAACATCTTTGGTATATTAACATTATACTAAGTTCTGAAATTATTACATATTTTTACACACAATTGAAATAAATAAAATGAAGACTGACTTCAGTCAGTCTACATATTTCACAGTCACAAATATTTTGCTAAATGAACTTGCCTGGAGTGTATTGTTTACAATATATTTGGTACCACTGTCATTCTCTGCTATTCTGAGAGTCTTAGTTGACAGTAGGGCGTTTCTATTGGATGGCCATGATTTAAAGACTGCACTAGATCATAATTGCAAGCTTCACTTACATAAAATAAAATTACGCTACTTTGCAATGTGTGGAGATTTGATAAATTCAAAAAAATTTACATCTCGAGATTTTGAGATAGCTTATATATAATAATGTGCTAAATACAAAATTATAATTAATTAATTTATAACTCTATGTGTTTGATTTCTCAGTATGTCTAATCTAGCTTGATTGTTTGGTGTTTTATTAATGTTGAGTATACTTGTTTGTTGTCCAGTATTAGCTGAAGCATATATTCAAAACATGGAACACAAACAAATATACTCAGTATTAAAAAACACCAAGTAATCGGATACTTCAGACATGTAGACAGCATTCTTTTGATCTATGATCAAAAGAAAAATACAGATGAAGCATTGGCCGAATTCAACAAACAACAAACCACTATAGAATTCACTATAGAAAATGAATTATATAACTCAATTAACTTTCTTGATCTTTCAATACATCACAGGGAAAAAGATTAAATTAACATTATAGAGAAAACCCCCTGAAACAGATATCATTATACCCAACGACTCCTACCATCCACACATACATAAAGTGTCAAGTATCATCTACTTAGTGAAAAGGTTAAACATGTATCCAGCATCTAAAGAAGTGAAAGAAATAGAATTAATATAATAAAAAACGCACTACATAACAATAAATATAATATAATATAAACACTCAAATGTTAATATTAATAAATCGACGAAGCTGCTCAAAGATGGAAAACTTGAAAATATACGGGGCAACAGTATAATAACATTATAATAGTATGTAAAAATTAATTAAAATTTCATTTTCATATATTTATTATACGCTTTCACAGAATTCAACAGCTGTTAAAATCCACAGTACTTAAAATGTACATAAAAATTAATTGAAATTTAAAGAAAACTGTTTGTATTACAATTAGTTTGCAAAAAATTAATTGCCATGTAACATCAAAGGAAACTTGCTTATTGGCTGAGGTTAGACCATTAGCAAAATTGTATTTAATTTTTAAAATTATCTTTATTTTATTTTCTTGATATATAAAGTTATCGTGTCTCTAATTAAGAACATTCTTTTGGTAAGACACTAATTGTTCTAAAAAATAAATTAGTTGGGAATAAGAACTGTAAGTATAAATTGGAATGGGTTAGTAATGCGTTTGTATATGTGGATGATCTTTCCTTGCTTATAACTTGCATGCTGCTAGCATGAATACATGTCACGTTCAGTCCTGTAAGTGTGTTCATTAATTAAAAAAAGTTTGTATAGTAGTCCTGAAAATTACATAACTGAAACATAAGGACATCCACAGGTACTTCCCTCCACTATGCACAAGATTCAAATTTTTAAGTTTATATTGTATAACAGTTCAATGAAAGAGACTGTAAGTAATTTAAAAATTAACTAGATCTTCTTACCACTCTATATAAACTGTACTTGCAGTTATATTTAATAAATCGTTTTCAAGATTGCAAATCATATGAAAGATTTTTGTAATTACTTGTAAAGCAAGTTTCATTCATAGGAAAAATTACTTACCAGCTTCTCCATGACAATATAGTATCTCCATTACATTTGATTTTTCTCTGAGGATGCCCATGTGATCTCTCAGTTCTCGTTACTAATTTCAGTCTTGGTCTGGGTTCATCTCATTTCTCATTGCAGTTAATATTTCCAGTCGGTAAATTTGAATTTGTTGCAATTCTGTTGCAACTTAAGTATTGCCTTAAATAGTACTGAAAGCTAATGCTGATATGCATAACATAACACACTGAAATGAAAATATAAACAGGTGCACTAACAAGTTAGATTTTAGATTCTCATGGCAGTGACTATGAAGAGTATAGTCTTCTATGTTGTAACACAATGTGATTTGGAAAAACCCAACACTTTGGAGCAAAATACCACCTCCATCAATGAGGCTCAATTTGCTACCTGCTTTGCTTGTTTCTTGCATGATTTATTCTTTGACCCTGAAGATGGAGGTGCTATGCTGCTTTGANCTTGATTGTACGCACTGTATAAGGCTGTCTGGAAACTATGCGATGTTATAACCCAGAGGACCATACTTTCATGTTCACTAATAATTTAGTATCCAAGAGAACAGAGAATAGCATAATTTAAAGACAATGTATGTACATTTTAGAAACTTGTCACTTGATCAGGACTCAAGACTGAAGCTTAGTAACGCCACAAGTCACATTTAATAGAGCAATTGGTCGGAACATACAACTCATTTGTCACAGGAGGAAATTCAGAAGTTAGCAGCACAGATAGAATTCATGAAGATAGTTCATATGGAGATGAACAACAGACACCTGAAGCCAAAGCCTGGTGGCTATTTTAATGCTGCCAACACAGCAGTAACTCTTCAAAGTCCTGTAGGGAAGACAACATCCAGTTTCCTTGTTGGGAAGAATATGGCTGTAGGAGAAGAGAGCTGCATCATTTCTCCAGCAGAAGGAGCCAGTGAGCGAGTCTGACTAGTGGTCAATAGTGAAGAAGTGTGGTTGTGACAAGGGACTGGCATGTCTTCATTGCTGTTGTTGTTGTCGTCGCCCCATGAGAAATTAAAGCCCTCCCCTGCTGTTTGTGGATCTGTCACTGCTCCCGCATTGTACAACTTTGCTGCTGTCATTCCTGGATGTTAATACTTGAATATAAATAGCCTTTGAAAATTTCTCTTCTGAAACTCTTTGCAGATGATATTCTTTTGGAAGGAGTAAATGTCTTGGCTTATAAAG